TTTTTATTTATTGTGAAAAATTCGTCTTATGTAGACTTATACTTTTATAAAAAATTGCAAAAAAGAATAGAATACAAAACTTTGTACTTATTGTGAAAAATTCATTGTATGTAGATTTTGGTCCGCCACCGTATGTTTAAAAATACGTTTCATCCATTATATAGCTGTTATGCTATTACTAGGGTACACACTATTTTCTAAATTATTCGATTCTCTACCACCTAGTCAACTTATTTTGGTCGTCGTGGAAATTCTAAACGACCGTGTGGTAAATTATATGATCGCTATTTTAATAATCGAAAAGGAAAAAAATTTACCTACGTGTTCAAACACACCAAGAGGCAACGACACGAGTACAAAAACAGACCTTTCCTGAACTGGACGAAATTTTATCCAAAAAAATTCAAGTTTGGCGGAAATATAATGATAGCCCACTAGAGGAAATTGTGGAGAAGTGGAAAACGACACATCTATATAGAAATATTTATCTCATGAATTCATTGGAAAGAGGGGAAACGATATCCGCATTTATAATCGAATGGCCTTTGTACAAACATTGTGTTCTTGGACCACAGCTGGTAAAATTTTTTTGCTTTTGTAAAAACATTTATATTTAATCTTATATTCCGTGTTAATAAATATATAAATAAATATTTTCTTCAAACTTTCACAATATTTCAGATCAATTGTGATTTTGATATACTCTATCCGAACAAAGGAACAAATTTGCATACAAAGTGGGAAGATTTCGTGCCATTAATATACAGCTATTATAAGAAAAATAAAAGGACAAAGTTTCCCGAGAAATTTTAATTCAATTGGAAAATCAAAACCTCGCTGCAGGTAAATAAATAACTGATACGAGTTTCAAGCTATTTTTATATGGTACATACGTTTATATTTTCAGGTACTAGAAATTATATTTGGGGTATTCACAACGGTGTCGTAAGTGTCGTATTGTTGTATGTCGCAAACTTTAAACGCCTAAAAAATATATTAAAGAGGTTCGTAAAGCACCATCAAAGTAATATTATGAATTTTTGCGGTGTTAAATAATAGTTGGTTGTCGTTTCAAGTTCTCTAAGCATTTATTTAAGCTTTTAAAGTTTACGACATACAACAATACGACACTTACGACACCTTTGTGAATCCCTCAATTATATCTTTACTGCTGAATGCTGTTATAACACCCGTTGACAGGTACAAGAACAACTCGTCGTTTAAAAGGGTAACTATTCAGGAAGGAGTGGACAGTTTTTTAGTCCATGTAAACTCTGCATCAAATTTGGAGGAAACATTGGCCGAAATAAGGGAACGTTTTTCGCACAAAAATAATACTTTGCAACCCATTATAATAGCTACTGGTTCTAGTATTAACTCTTTAGATATTTTTTTTGTACATATATCTAGACGGAACCAAGCTCAAGTTCTCATCATTTTTGGCAGCTCTGGATTTATGTTTTAAAGTTTTTGATGTACAATATCCTTTATACTGTAAAGGTGTTTGGCTTTTTATCCAAAAGTTTTTTTTTTTTTAAATTGACACAAAATACGACGAACATCAGCCTAAAGTTGGTGGATTGAAATCTCATTTGAATTCGTTATTAAATAAAAAATATAATGTATTTTTGCTTTGTTTGTGAATACAGAACTGAAACGGTTAAAAAGTTAATATCTCATTTCAATAGTGAACATAAATTGAAAAATTTTGCTGTATATAAATGTGCACAGAAAAACTGTTTGCAGCATTTTTCAAGTAAATGGTCATTTGCAAAACACCTTAATAGGCATGAAAAATATGCTAATGATGATAACTTGAGTTTAAATAATGTAAAGTCGAATTCTGAAAGTTTCAACAACACTGACCGATCATCATATAACTGTACTAAGCCAGAATCTCATATTTGTAAAACGGATAACAATCCAAATGATAAAATTATAGGATCAGCTGTAATATTTTCATGTGAACTATATTCAAAAAACTATTTAAGTAGTAGTATCCAAAAAAATGTTTCGAATATATGTAAAATATTGGTTGCTAATATTAAAGATACACTTAAGAATGAGATTGATATTCCATTAACTAACAAACTACGCGAAGTTTTTAAATTATGCTCTGATCCACTGCAATACGTAAACACTGAATATAAATTTTTTAAGTACATCCAGAGCAAAAATTTGTTTCACAGTTTTTCTGAGCATACTATAAACAATGAAATTGTACCACGTATCCGACTTGGAAATCCCACTTTGGCTGAAACTAATTCAAAAGCTTATATTACGCCATTACGCTTTCAATTTAAAAAAAATTTCGAATTAAAATCTCTGCTTCGAAAAACATTGAACAACACACAATTCTTACAAAACCAAACGCAATATTCAAATTTTGTAAATGGATCTATTTTCAAGTCGAAGGAGCAAAAAATTGGTAAAGGAAAGTTGATTATACCATATTTTCTTTACTCTGATGATTTCGAAACAAACAACCCTTTAGGAAGTCATACAACAAAAGATTCTATACGCGGATGTTATTATTCTTTTCCGACAATACCGCAATATTTACTGTCTAGTTTGGAATTTATTTTATTGTCAAATCTTGTTATTTGAAAGATTTGGGAAGTAATTCAGCCTTATATGGTCTCATTCAAGAAATTCGATTTTTGGAAGAAACGGGTTTAGAAATAAGTGCTGATGGAAATAGCTATCATTTTTTTTTTACATTAGGACTTGTTCTAGGGGATAACTTAGGTATGAAAACAATATTTGGTTTTTGTAAATCATTTCGATCGTACAAATTTTGTCGTGTTTGCAGAAGAGGCAAAATATATAGTTACAGAAAGATGTAATCGAAGCAAATGATTGTATAAGAAATATACAAAATTATTCTGAAGATCTTAAGTTAAACAATTACAGTGTAGCAGGTATAGTAGAATAACGTATATTTAATGATATTAGCACTTTTCATGTTACTCATAATTTTAGCGTTGATTAATGCATGGCATTTTTGAAGGTATTTGTCGCTATGAAATAACCCCATCACTATTGTACTTAAAAAAAAAAAAACTTTTCCTTAGACTTTTTAAACACACGCAAACAAAATTTTATGTACGGGGAAACCGAAATAGGAAATTTTTCAGGCCCGTTAAAATTACACTGTCGTCTTAAGTCAAATTTAAAAATGTCTGCAAGTGAAACTTGAACTTTCACACATTTTCTGCCACTAATTATAGGGGACAAAGTGCCACGATATGATAAAGTGTGGAAGCTTATCACATTATTAATCAAAATCATTGATATTTGCCTATATTCATCTTTCACTGAAAATGACATTGAACTCCTTATAGATACGATATCTCGTCATCGCAAATTGTATTTGGATTACTTAAGCCAAAGCACCATTTCTTGGTCCATTATGGGTCGGCAATAAAGGCTAGTGGGCCTTTGAAATATATATGATGTTTAAGATTTGATGCGAAACATACAGACTTAAAAAAATATACGTCTGTCATAGAGCCGGAAAGCTATCGATGGTTGTGGCCACACCATGTGTTATTCATAACACAGATAAAAAACAAGTGAACGAAGACAATACACGTACAATTGATTTTTTTGCAGTCATGTAACTTAACAATAGAACATTTTACTTTAGCTGACTCAGTGACCTTCAAAGGAAGTGTTTATAAAAAACACTTTCATCTCTCCAGATTTTTACAGTTATATAAAATCGAAGGACTTCTAATTGACAAACAAAATCAACTGTTTATTGTTTCTACCAAAATTCAGTTGAAAAAATTTTATGAACATTACCAATCTTATGTTGTTGGAATAAATACCAATGAAATGTGTTTTAATTAAATTGAATTTTTTACTAGTCCTGGCAGATGGTTCAGTATATCTACGAAATAAAATGTTGTGACTACTTAAATAATATTTATTTAATTTATTGTTAAACAAAAGTAAAATGAAAATGTAAAATGTGAAATGTGAAATGGTCAAAATGTCACTTAACTTAATCAGCTGACCACAAGTGTATGTTGTTAGCTATAAGGAAATATTTTATATACTTCATCAAATTATATGAAATAAATGATCTAGGAAAACATACTTAAACACGATTTTTATTTATTTTTATAAAAAATGACTATTTTGACTGTCAATAAAACTGTATTTACAGTTAAATTAACAGCAATTTTGCAGTTTTATAAACAGATTGAACGATTATTTTAACGTAAATATGTGGTAAAACAACAGTCGCGTTTGCTAAAAATTAACAGAAATATTTTATATATAGCCTAGTGAAATGTTAATTCGACAGACGATTTGTAAATTCAACAGTAAAACTGTTAAAACTTCTTGTCAACGGAGAAGTATTTGTTAATTTTACAGATTTATCCTTTGGATGTGATTTATATGTGAAATCTGTCGTTACAACCTGTAATTCGATTGATTTTACAGTATTCTTTCTCTGGGTGTAAAAGTATAGTATGTATTGTACAAAAAATTTAACACTAATTATTGGAAAATCTAATGCTGCTAAATAAAAATGTGTAATATATTAAAGTGCACTTAATCAAAAGTTTTTTATTGTATATTCATGAATTCATTTCATTTTTTCACTACCAAAGTAATGGTTTTGGTCCATATTGGACTAGCATTTTTCCGTCTATTTTAAACTAGTATGAAACTGGTATATTTCTGACCGAATTCTGACAATCGCCATCTCGTAGGACATCCCCATGTTAAAAACACCAGTAATATAAAATAGAATTTTTTAAGAAACAAATGTATTTGCTTTGCCCCTCTATATTTGATTCAGGGTACGCCCTTGGAAGTCGATTAAGCCATGTCTGTCTGTCTGTCCGTCCATCCGCCCGTCCGTCCGTGTATACGATAACTGGAGCAAACATTGAGATATCTCACCGAAATTTGGTGTGGGTTGCCCTGTATCCAAGGTAGGTTGGTATTGAAAATGGGGGAACTCGGACTCTAACCACGCCCACTTCCCACGACGTTTCAGTAAATATTGGATCTAAATTGTTGAAAATTAGTACGTGAAGTAGAATTTTGGTAATGGGCGTGACCCCGTCCACTTATGATGAAATGCTGTATCTCAGTAGGCGCTTCACCAATCCTTACCAAACTCGGTGCGAGCCTTGCCTAGGGTCTAGCTAAGAAATCTGTT